AGAAAGGGGAACCCACGTGCACTGTTGTCGGAAATGTAAATTGGTGCAGTTACTATGGAAAACAATACGGAGGTTCCTCAAAAAATTAAAAACAGAACTACCATATCATCCAGCAGTCCCACTTCTGAGTATATATCCAAAGGAAATAAAATCAGTATTTCAAAGAGATATCTGTCCTCCCATGTTTATTTTAGCATTATTTACAAGTAGCCAACATATGGAAACAACCTAAGTGTCCATTGATGGATGCATGGATAAAGAAAATGTGCCAAATTTATATATATATATATATATATATATAAAATGGAAAATTGTTCAGCCATAAAAAAGAATGAAATCCTGCCATTTGTGACAACATAAGTGGACCTTGAGGGTATTATGCTAAATGAAATAAGTCAGATGGAGAAAGACACTGTATGATTTCTCTTAAATGTGGAATATAAATTTTAAAAAAAAAGCTCAGAGCAACAAACATAAAATGTAATTTAAAAATATGCCATGTAGGGCTTCCCTGGTGGCGCAGTGGTTCAGAGTCCACCTGCCGATGCAGGGGACACGGGTTCGTGCCCCGGTCCGGGAAGATCCCACATGCCGCGGAGCGGCTAGGCCCGTGAGCCATGGCCGCTGAGCCTGTGTGTCCGGAGCCTGTGCTCCGCAGCGGGAGAGGCCACAACAGTGAGAGGCCCATGTACGGCAAAAAAAAAAAAAAATATATATATATATATTTTTTTTCTTTATATGTAATCTCCATAAATAATCTTTAAATAATCACAGATTTGTAATTTTCTTTGCAACGTTTATGCCTTATTGGGTTACCTAAACATCTAGTTCAATGCTGTATTGGAGTGATAGTGGTAATCATTCTTATTTTGTACCTGACCTAATAGAGAGTGATTAAGTGTTTCATCATTATGTGTGCTGCTTCTTTAAATATTCTATCAAGTTAAGGAGGGCCCTTTTAGTTCTGGTATCTAAGTTTTTATCATGAATGAATGCATATTAAATTCTGTCTAAAATTTTTTATACAATACAATGAAATACATATTGATATCATTTTTCTTTTTTAGTCTTTTAATGTGGTTAATCATATTAATTGAAGTAATCTGTCTTTTAATGTTAAACTGACTTTGAACGCCACACGATTGATCATGATAATAATACTCTTAGAACTCAGAATCCAAATGAGTAGGAACTATACATTCTTTAGAGACAAAGAAGTTTTCAGTTGTAAAACTTACCTACACACAACAAGCAACAAATGGACATATATTAATATTTTACTGACTAGCTCTAACTTGTGTCTTTATTTACCTCCATCAGTAATGCATCTATTTATTTAATAATCATTTGTTGAGCATTCACTAAATGTCATCCACTCTTCTGGTAGTAAGAGTACAAAGATGACAAAGACATAACCTTTCCCATTAAGGAGCTCATAATTTAAATGTGAATGGAGTGTGTGTGTGGGCTGGACCACAGGGTGAGGTTGGCACAGAGAGAACAAAAGATAATGGAAAACATATACAGTAAGTGCTCTACTACAGATGAATGAACAAAATGCTAAGGAAATAAAATGGGGAAGTACTTCAAGTGTTCCTTCAAGTAATTAGACTTGAATCTTCAATGAAGATACATGTTTGTCACCAAAAGATGATGCAGAAGAAAACACTGAGAGACTTTTGTGCGGATTAAATATGTGTTATATGCCAAGACATTATGGCCTGGGGGATAAAGCAGTGAATAGGCCACAAAAATCTCTGCTGTTTTCGATTGACTTTCTAACCAACATCAAAGGAAAGAAACAACTTGCCCAGAGAAAGGACCTTTCCTGCTCAGGACAGCTTTTGTATGAGCACTCCATCAACAGTTCTGGATGCCACACAACGCAGCGATATCCAAAGTGGGCAGCCTGCAGGAAGATAATACCAGCGTTTCTATTTATATTTAGTTTTTAGATTCTTCTAGTATTTCTATTTTTGTCTATGCACTAACATGAACGTAATTTACAAATTATTATCCATAGACTTGGAGTGCGGGCTCAAGTTTTATCGATGTGGGTATTTCATCCAAAAATTTGAGGACCACTGCTCTAGAGTCCTCCGAAGTCCTCAAAACAAAAAGTAATTTGAATTTAACTGTCTTGAAAGTTACTTAACGCTTCTAAAACACTAGCAATGGAGGAATGTTACACAGCATTAGGGGTGGCTGGGGAAAGTACTTTCTTAAAGGCCTTATAGACAATCCCGGAGGAGCTGCCTATATAATTGTTAATAAAGATTGAAAAAAAAGTTCTTAGTGTTTGCAGGTTTGGGCCGCCGCTGGGAACAACTCTGGTTGTTCAACTTAAATGTTCTGATACTAAGCAGAGTCCAACTGGTTGGACTGCTCGGTGCGTAATCCACATGGGCCGCCAGGTTCAGGGTCTGAGCGGAGAAGGACCCGCTTTCGCCCCCCCCGCCCCGAACTGCGCCCGAGAACAGCAAGGCTGCGACCGGCCGCTCAAAGTTGCTCACCGGGACTTTTATCCTGAACCTAAAGCGCTGCCAGACGCCGCACGTAGCGGGCGCAGGTCCAGCGTCACGTGTTCTACGAACGCTGATCTCGCGCTTGCGCGCTGCCGTCCTTCTGACTCCACTAAGCCTCTTCTGCCTGGCGAACCCGCCTTCCCGCCGGATCGTCACTTCCGGCGTACGCTCTGCGTGATTGGTGTCGTCACTTCCTGCCTGTACCGGTGTAGACGGTGTGTGTCGTGGCCGCGGATTCTGCGGTTCTCCCCCTCCCCTACTCTCCTCCCTCCCTCCCTTTCCCTCCCTCGACGGCGGTCGGTCGTCCGTCGCAGACTCCCTGACCCGTCCCTAACCCCTTTCTGACCTATGCCGCGGAGCGGCTAGGCCCGTGAGCCATGGCCGCTGAGCCTGTGTGTCCGGAGCCTGTGCTCCGCAGCGGGAGAGGCCACAACAGTGAGAGGCCCATGTACGGCAAAAAAAAAATATATATATATATATATATTTTTTTTTTTCTTTATATGTAATCTCCATAAATAATCTTTAAATAATCACAGATTTGTAATTTTCTTTGCAACGTTTATGCCTTATTGGGTTACCTAAACATCTAGTTCAATGCTGTATTGGAGTGATAGTGGTAATCATTCTTATTTTGTACCTGACCTAATAGAGAGTGATTAAGTGTTTCATCATTATGTGTGCTGCTTCTTTAAATATTCTATCAAGTTAAGGAGGGCCCTTTTAGTTCTGGTATCTAAGTTTTTATCATGAATGAATGCATATTAAATTCTGTCTAAAATTTTTTATACAATACAATGAAATACATATTGATATCATTTTTCTTTTTTAGTCTTTTAATGTGGTTAATCATATTAATTGAAGTAATCTGTCTTTTAATGTTAAACTGATTTTGAACGCCACACGATTGATCATGATAATAATACTCTTAGAACTCAGAATCCAAATGAGTAGGAACTATACATTCTTTAGAGACAAAGAAGTTTTCAGTTGTAAAACTTACCTACACACAACAAGCAACAAATGGACATATATTAATATTTTACTGACTAGCTCTAACTTGTGTCTTTATTTACCTCCATCAGTAATGCATCTATTTATTTAATAATCATTTGTTGAGCATTCACTAAATGTCATCCACTCTTCTGGTAGTAAGAGTACAAAGATGACAAAGACATAACCTTTCCCATTAAGGAGCTCATAATTTAAATGTGAATGGAGTGTGTGTGTGGGCTGGACCACAGGGTGAGGTTGGCACAGAGAGAACAAAAGATAATGGAAAACATATACAGTAAGTGCTCTACTACAGATGAATGAACAAAATGCTAAGGAAATAAAATGGGGAAGTACTTCAAGTGTTCCTTCAAGTAATTAGACTTGAATCTTCAATGAAGATACATGTTTGTCACCAAAAGATGATGCAGAAGAAAACACTGAGAGACTTTTGTGCGGATTAAATATGTGTTATATGCCAAGACATTATGGCCTGGGGGATAAAGCAGTGAATAGGCCACAAAAATCTCTGCTGTTTTCGATTGACTTTCTAACCAACATCAAAGGAAAGAAACAACTTGCCCAGAGAAAGGACCTTTCCTGCTCAGGACAGCTTTTGTATGAGCACTCCATCAACAGTTCTGGATGCCACACAACGCAGCGATATCCAAAGTGGGCAGCCTGCAGGAAGATAATACCAGCGTTTCTATTTATATTTAGTTTTTAGATTCTTCTAGTATTTCTATTTTTGTCTATGCACTAACATGAACGTAATTTACAAATTATTATCCATAGACTTGGAGTGCGGGCTCAAGTTTTATCGATGTGGGTATTTCATCCAAAAATTTGAGGACCACTGCTCTAGAGTCCTCCGAAGTCCTCAAAACAAAAAGTAATTTGAATTTAACTGTCTTGAAAGTTACTTAACGCTTCTAAAACACTAGCAATGGAGGAATGTTACACAGCATTAGGGGTGGCTGGGGAAAGTACTTTCTTAAAGGCCTTATAGACAATCCCGGAGGAGCTGCCTATATAATTGTTAATAAAGATTGAAAAAAAAGTTCTTAGTGTTTGCAGGTTTGGGCCGCCGCTGGGAACAACTCTGGTTGTTCAACTTAAATGTTCTGATACTAAGCAGAGTCCAACTGGTTGGACTGCTCGGTGCGTAATCCACATGGGCCGCCAGGTTCAGGGTCTGAGCGGAGAAGGACCCGCTTTCGCCCCCCCCGCCCCGAACTGCGCCCGAGAACAGCAAGGCTGCGACCGGCCGCTCAAAGTTGCTCACCGGGACTTTTATCCTGAACCTAAAGCGCTGCCAGACGCCGCACGTAGCGGGCGCAGGTCCAGCGTCACGTGTTCTACGAACGCTGATCTCGCGCTTGCGCGCTGCCGTCCTTCTGACTCCACTAAGCCTCTTCTGCCTGGCGAACCCGCCTTCCCGCCGGATCGTCACTTCCGGCGTACGCTCTGCGTGATTGGTGTCGTCACTTCCTGCCTGTACCGGTGTAGACGGTGTGTGTCGTGGCCGCGGATTCTGCGGTTCTCCCCCTCCCCTACTCTCCTCCCTCCCTCCCTTTCCCTCCCTCGACGGCGGTCGGTCGTCCGTCGCAGACTCCCTGACCCGTCCCTAACCCCTTTCTGACCTCGGGCCCACCGGATTGGCCTTTTCCCGTTTCCCGGCCCAACCCCAGAGTCAGGGCGGGGGCCTTGAGGAGGCGGAGGCGGTGCCACGGAGGAGAGAAAAGACCAGACGACCCTCGGCTCCCCCGCCGGATCGCACGGCTCGCAGCCGCCATGGCGATGAGGCAGACGCCGCTCACCTGCTCGGGCCACACGCGGCCCGTGGTGGATCTGGCCTTCAGTGGCATCACGCCTTACGGCTATTTCCTGATCAGCGCTTGCAAAGGTGAGCAGGGCCGCTGATCGGGCCCCTGACGGCTGGGACTGGGCGGAAAGGGAGTGGGGGCCGGCACTCCCCTTTGCCGAGCGGACTGCGGCTCTCGCAGCCTTTGAGGTTAGGGTCCACGGTGGGCTGATGGGGAGAGGAGTAGTGTTAGGGTTTCCTCAGCTGACGCCGAGGGGCTTTGCTAAGTAATGCCCCTAACCAAGGTCTCTCATTTTAGCTTTATTGCTATTTCTGGAGAAGCTGAACTGTGCACTTGCTTAGACGCCCCGGCCAGCAGACACCGTAAATAATCTTTCAAGGATTCGGGGAATGCAGAAACTAGGCCAGGCCTTGTTTTACACCTTAGTTTACAAAGACTTGCTACTCCTGTTATCTCATAGGATACTGTTTGTTGTATGGAATTTTTCGTTTCCGTTTTTCATTTTTCAAATGGAAGCTGAGACTTACTGTTAAGAAGTTTGTCCAAAATAAGACGCAAATGTAGATTGTTTTGATGCAGATCAGTAGTCTTCTCACCGAATTACAAATGCTTCCCAAAGAGAGTGTCCAGCTCGGTTCTTCAGTTAATTTATTTCTGGACGTTCCTTAGTGATCCCTGTGAGTGAGAATAGTTAGACAACAAAAGCAGGAGAGAAAAGACCAGACGACCCTCGGCTGCTCTTTTCAATATGATCATTTTATGTTTGAATCTTAAATTTTAAGTAATCTAAACTTGTAAATCACATGTCTTCTTAAATATCTTTTAGATGGTAAACCTATGCTACGCCAGGGAGATACAGGAGACTGGATTGGAACATTTTTGGGTCATAAGGGTGCTGTTTGGGGTGCAACACTAAATAAGGACGCCACCAAAGCAGCTACAGCAGCTGCAGATTTCACAGCGTAAGTGCCGCCAAAAATGGCCACCTTTGGAGTTGTCTGTGGATTGTGTTCTGAAATGATCAAAACTTCAATCAAAGTTATTCATAGAATTCTCACTGCCTGCCATATAGAACACATAGTGTTTGATCTCACCAAAATTCCACCCTGATCCTGCCTGCTTCTTTCTCTTAAATAGTTCTCACAATGTTCAGAGACTTAAATGACTAAATTCTGCATGTCTGGATTGGGACCCAGGAATCTGCATTATTAACAGACACTTCAGATAATGAATGTTGATGGTCATGCTTCCAAATACTGCCCCACATGTGCTGGCTGAGTGGTATCATTAACTCCTATGACTTCCTAGTGCTTAATGACCCCACATTTTTAGCCCAATTTCACTCTCATTTTTGTTAGACATATTTAAAACTCCCCAACTCAACTATTCTTCATATTTTAAGTTTTTTAAGGCTGAAATCTAAATCATTCTTGATTTTTCCCTTCCATCTAGATTATCATCTTCTTTGTTGATTCTACCAGCAGAATGTTTCCTGACCACATTGTTTGTTATGCCTCGGCCACTGCCGTATTAGTTTAGGTCCCTAATACTTGTCCTTTCCCATCTGTTCATCCTCCCTGGTGCTGCCAGTTGTATTCGTGAACACAGATACAAATATCGTCATGTCAGTTCTCCATCTTATGATCTCTTGTCTTCCCTGTGCTTTGTCAGTGGTCCATGATGTTGGGTGTACATTAGAAGCTTTTAAAATACTCAGATGCATGTATCTAGAAATTCTGATTTAGTTGGTCTGGGGGTGCTGTCCCGAACATCAGCTCTTTTCCTTGAAAGTCTAGGTGATTCTGATGTGCAGCCTTTAACCACTGGCCTAAAGGTTAAATTTCACTTGTTGGCTCTTGAAAATTTGGTCTCATCCTAGTTCATCATTATCATCATCGGGCACTGCACACCGTATGCCCCACAGTCTAGTTATACTAATATTGTTGCCAGAATACACCTTACCTATTCTGATTTTTGGCGTTTGCGTATGTTATTAAAGTGATTTGCGGTGACCCACTTTCCCCATCTGAACATGTGTCATATATAACTTCGGTACCTCTAGTTCCTAATTGTGTTTGTGATTTAGCAGGCACTTAAATGCTTAAACTAAGGAAGGCAATGTCAAGGGCTGTTGCACATGTAATACTCTATTAAAAGATTTGAGGCTCTGGAGAGTAAAAGTGGTCTTGTTGATTTTTTTTTTTTTTTTTAACAGAATTTCACACTAGGGAGCAATTGTAAATGTGTTTGTTGCTCCTTTGTATTAAGCAAATTAAACATACAAAGTTTATTATGAAAAATGAAGGCAGATTGATTGAGTGGTGGATACATGACTGTATATTTGATGAAACCCGTAGACCTCTATATCTTGGAGTTAGTTTTACTATATGTAAGTTTTTAAAAATAAAATTTTTAAAATAAGGAGAGGGAGATATAATCCCATGCTTATGTGGGATTAAATTTGAGACGATGAGAGAGCAGTAAGAAAAGTTATAAATGTCAGTATGAACTTTTTTTCTGTGCCTTCAATGAATAGATGTTATTATGTTCATGAATAACCATTGTAAGGCTTTGCACGCTGCCCTATTGTGATTGTATGAAATTCTGATAAAATAAGGAACTGCTTGGTTTTATGTCAGTCCTGTAATGTCAACAGCTTCAGGTCAAATGTTGCTGTAGATGTCAGCATGTGTGCTTATAATGTGACAGAGACTCCTTTGATTGTTAATTATAGGAGGTGAAAAATAGGAAGTAAAAGTGATTCTCAGACGAGGAAGACTTGAGGAGTATTGGAAGGTGAAGGTGCCCATTCCTTCTTTTTGCTCACACTGTTCCCTGTGTTAAAACTTCTGGCTCTTACAGTACTTATTGACTTCAGTGTCATTGCTTTTTGAGGCCAGGGGCCATGTTTTATATTTTTTTGTATCCCTGGTTTGTTCAGTACTTTATGTTTGTCAAATAAATAACTTAAGGAATTTTTCTAAAGTAGAAGGATAAAGAATGGACGAATTATAGATCTTGGTTTTGCTTCTAAGACATTTGTGTCTGCCATGAGTTCAGCTTTTTTTTTTTTTCTTTCCCTTTAACTCCTCCAAAGTTTGTTTTTTGCTCAGTCCAGTAGGAGCATTGTCATTGGGAATGAATGTCATTGATTTTATAACAGAGATGGAAAATTGGAATTAAAAGCTCTAGATTTCAGATATTTGGTAAGTGGATTTTACAAATGTCATTATTGAAACTAGGTCCCAGTTTGGTGGTAAGTTAATAGTTAATAAAGTGGTATTTTAAGTTAAATATAATTAGGTAATAAATGTAACAAGATCTTAGACACTATAGACATTAGCATTAAAAGAGACAAGCTTTTGTTTTTTGTTTTGCGGTACGTGGGCCTCTCACTGTTGTGGCCTCTCCCATTGCAGAGCACAGGCTCTGGACGCGCAGGCTCAGCGGCCATGGCTCACGGGCCCAGCCGCTCCGCGGCATGTGGGATGTTCCCAGACCGGGGTACGAACCCGTGTCCCCTGCATCGGCAGGTAGACTCTCAACCACTGCGCCACCAGGGAAGCCGAAAAGCATTAATTTTAATGGGGCCATATTGTCTGTGTTTGAACCCAGGCTCCATCCTTTAATAGCTCTGTGACCTTGTGAACTTTATTTAATCTCTTTTTTTTTTTAGTTTCATCATCTATAAAAATGAGAATAGTAATAGTGCCTACCTCTGGTTGTGAATATTGAATAAGTTGATATGTTTCTAATATTTAGAATATTGCCTAAAATCTAATAACTATGTAAGTGTTACATGTGTAGGGTAACACTGGTAGCTACCACCCCTACTAGACCAAAATCATGTGTTATTTTGGAACTTCTGTGCTAAAGCCATGAAACCTTTCGGTTTCATGCAAGGAAGTTTGAGTAGATTTAAATACCAAGAGGGAATAGTTTTGGGTTTTTCCCCCCTCAGTTAAGGCTCTCAGGTGCCATCATACAGTGAGAAAGATGTAAGCATTTACATTAGCCAGGCCTGAGTTTATGTGCTAGCCATGCTGTGTATTTTCAGTTTGATCATGGGATGCTTCTTAAACTTCGGTTTTCACATCTGTAAAATGAGTGTAAGTCTGATTTTTGTGCAAATCAGAGAGATCTTTCTCCACTTACATGCCTGGAGTCTAGCATAGTGTCTGTTACATAGTAGGTACTTGGTTAATGGACGCTGAGTCTTACCCTTCAATTGCTCTGTGTCTGTCTGTGAGGTGTGGGAGTATGTGCATTCTTTGTTTATATTCTTCTCTTTTAATGACTTGTATGGGGTCTGCTGTTATGGAACTTGACCCAACTAAAGAGCTCCCCAACTTACCTGATTAATCGTAGTTGGTATAAATTATTTTGGGGTGATTGTTTTTGTTCCCTCATTCTTAGGTTTCTCAGAAAATTCATTAATTTCATGTTTATCTAAAGGATAATTTTGTTCCTATTGTGGAGAAAATATATTCAGCAGAGCCGGTCCGTGGGTCAGTTTAGAATGTTAACTTGAGGTCATTCGGGCAGTCAAGTCAGCTGATGTGTACACTGTCCCTGAAACACCATCCTCTTTATGTCTTTTAATTCATAGAGCTAATGTTAGCACTACGTCTCCTGATCCTCTTCTCAGTCCCTCTACTGTCTTCATCTGGAGAGTGCCAAAAGTAGAGAAGATGCCTGTGCTCTGTCCAGAGAGCGCTTAAGTAGATCTAGTACAAGTGACTAGAAGAACATGCTCTGTCGAGAGTGCCGAACTCAATTTTACTAGTGTTTCTAAATAGGAGGAAAACAACTAGATGCGTGGGGCTTCTGGATGATACTCCTCCAGTCACTCCAGTGCCTTCCTCCTCACCAGTGAATGGACATGGTCTAAGCAGCATACTAAGATTTTGAGGAGTTTGGGGAAGATGATTGAATATACTTGAAATTAGTATTTCTAAAGACATTGCCCGGAGTTCCTTTGAGGCATGGCATCATATGAACAGGATAGAGGTTTCAGGTACATTTGATGTTTTCTTCACTTTTGACACCTTCTGTTATTGCAGCAGTCTAATCTTTGTGAACTCTTATCACTGATTTCCCTGTGATTAAGAGTAAGCATATGTAAACAAAAGTAAAAGCAAAGCAAAGTTAAACACAGTAATCAGTATAAGCTGAGCTTTGTGGAAAAAACAGAAAGGAATGGTTAATGGAGGCGAGATAAATAGAAGGTTTAGTGAAAAGATACCATTTGTGATCAACCGAGGGTGAGTAGAACTGTGATAGCTGAGAATGTAAAATACATGCTTAATAGAACAATGTGAGCAGAGACAGAGGAGCCTGGAAGCAAATACATGGCTTGTTTGAGGAGTGGTCTATAATCTGGTGTGACTAGATTAGGAGAAATAATACAGAATGAGGTTGGGGAAGTAGGGTTGGACCAAGAGAGTTGAATTGGAAACGGGGGAGATTAGAACAGGTTTCCTGTGCAAAGAGAAATTAATATTTGAGAGTTTAGTAGCAGTACCACTCATAGTTGACATTGTTTCTCTCAGAACATATTTACTCAGCTACTCATGACTCAAGTATATAATTTGCAAGGTTTCTATTGTATCATCAGCATTTATTCCTGTTAGATGGTTCATGTTTCTTTACCGTTGCACATGCTATTAATGCTTATCTACAATGGCCTTTCCCTTTTTTTTCCCCTGGCCTATTTCTACGTGCTCTTTAAGGCTACAGGTTTTGATGCTTAGAGTTTCTGGACTTTCTGGCGTAATTAGTGGTGTGTTTTTTGTGTTTCTATAGTCATGTGTGTTTGTCATTTAATTATATTTCTTAAATGTATTATTTAATGGATTTTTTTTTCATCTCAGCTAAAGCTAATGCTCTACTAAGGCAGGAACTTTCTTTGGGATCATTTTTTTTCTCCCTTTTGTGCCCTAGTACTGAGTCTAGAGTGACATACTTGATATATTTCTTGTGTGTTTAATGAATAAATGAAGAAAAGATACTCCTTGCTTTTCTCTGTTTTTCTTTCTCTACTATTTCATTGTTCACTTTTTTTCCTAAAAATAACTGTCAATTACATTAAAATGGAAATCTTTAGGGAGCGTAGCTTGTTCCTCATAACAGTTTCTTTTCCTGCGTGGAAAGTTTTCTTGTTTATTTTTCAATGACCTCTTCTGACCTAAAATGAATTGTTTTTTTTTCTTCTTCTTTACTGTTTAAGCTTTTTTATTTGGGGAACCCCTTACAGTATTTTTATGAACTATTATTTCATCATTATCCTCCAACATATACACAAACATACGTATGTGTGTGTAATCACATACATATTTTGGGTTGGGTTAGGGAAAATAATAGTTGAGAGATTTAAAATCTTCTCAACATTAGCATTATATAATCAAAGGCTGTTACTTTGTGTGGAAGTTAATTGGAGTAGGATTTGAGAATTTAAGAGTCAACTTTGAGGAAGAGATGGGGAGAATATTTTCTTCTCTACTGTCTTGTTTTAAAATTTCATGTAACTTCTGTCAAGGCTTTTCGTTCTCCTGTAAAATTCTTTTAAAGGACTTCTTGTTTTTCATTTCTTGTTTCTCATGTACACGAGAGTAAAGAATAGAGAAAAAATATTGGAAAGGTGAAACTGAACTGGTTAAAATGTTTACAGTCTTGCTAAAAGGATATTATGGCTACAGGCTAAAATGAAAGTAAGAATGGATTGCTTCATGAAACTTGTTTACTTAAAATTTGATATTTTCCATTGTCAAAATTAGATTGTTATATTGTTTTTACTTTATCATGTAGTTATATAACATTTCAAATATCTAACTTATTTGGTAATTAATTGTCAAAATTACCACATGTTTATCTTTTAATTTTACTTTTTATTTTTAGCAAAGTGTGGGATGCTGTCTCAGGAGATGAATTGATGACCCTGGCTCATAAACACATTGTCAAGACTGTGGATTTTACGCAGGTATCAGAAAATGTAATTTGTTTTAGGAAGTTAAATTGCTGTTATTATAGGATATGACAATGGTTTTATATTTGATTGGTTTGTATATTTGGTTTTCTGGGGGAATATTTGGTGTATATTGGCTTATATTTGATTTGACTGTAGATTAAACTGTATACCTTTACAGTTGACTCTTGAATAACACAGGTTTAAGCTGTCTAGGTCCACTTAACATGGATTTTTTCACTGATAAATACTGCATACTGCAATATCACATGGTCCACAGTTGTGGAATCTGCACATGTGGAGGAACTGCATGTGGGAGGAACCACATGTATAGAGGGCTGACTATAACTTATACGTGGATTTCGACTGTGTGGAGGGTGGGTCCCGTGATCCCTTTGTTGTTCAACTCAATGAGTATTTCTTCTTAGTTGATCCTATGAGGCTTTTAAGAACCCTGGAACTCTTGTATCAATACTTCAACAATAGCAACAAACATCTGAAAAGCCCAAATAATGTTACCCAGCCACTTTCAAAAGGGAGAGGATAAATTTGAGATCATCACAAATGTACTCCTCAGTAGGCAGCCGGATCAGGGCCGACTAAGAGACGCCATGTGGAGGTGGTATGACATTTGAACTGGGAAGCTTACAGGGCTTTGGCTATTATGAGAAAGATAAATGCTCTGCAGTATTTTCTCAGGAGTAATTGGTCTGTATGCATCTCCTTGTGACATCTGTGAGCCTTATTTGGATTCTGTTTGGTGTTGAAGAAGTTTCAAAGAGATGTAGCTTTTAAAATGGTTAATCTAGTAAGATCTTACTTATGTGTGTTTTCAGGATAGTAATTACTTGTTAACCGGGGGACAGGATAAACTGTTACGCATATATGACTTGAACAAACCTGAAGCAGGTAAGTGTAATTTATACGTATTTGTGGTTTTGTTTTCTTTTAATTTAAGTAACTTTTCCTGATTAAAGGAATTCATATTTAGTACTCAAATTAGGAAAATAAAGATAATCACAAAGAAAAAAATTAAAATATAGTCCATCATCCAGTATTATTAATTGCTGATAACGTCTTTAGCTTTTGGTTCATGTTTTTCCAGTTCTTTTTTTAATGCAGATATCTTTTGAAATATTGATTTATTTATTACATTGTGCTTGTATAGCCTTCCTACAATTTAAAAAATTATCATGGTAAATTTTTATTATGATACTGAGTCTAAAAAGGTGTGTAACAGTGTTAACTACCTTTTGGTTAGAAGGAGTGGTTATTATCTGTAGAAGGTGAGAAGGGTAAGAATTCTCAGTGTATACATACTTAGACTTTTGAACCACACTTTTGGGTATATTAGCTATTCAGAAGAATTTTAAGAATCTGTAATAATAGTTTTTTCATGTCTTTAAATATTCTGTTCATTCTTTCTAATGACTGTGTGGCTCTCTATTCTGTGGGTAAGTGAACTAGCCAATCTCCTATTATGGCTTATTTGGTTATTTACAGATTTTAAAGATTATAAGCAGTGTTGTGCTTAACATCCTTATAGTTGCATATACTTCCACAATTGTTTCTGTAGGATACCTACATAGAATAGAATTGTTGGGACAAAAAGGAGGTATGCTTGGAAGCCATTGATAGATACTACCAAAGGGCCCTCCAGTGAAGTATAAAAATGTATCTATAGCTAACCTGTTCTAGCAAACACTGATAACTAGCTTTATCTTTGCCAATTTAATAGAAGAGAAATGATTGTCTTGTTAATGTGCACTTGAAAAATTATTCATGAGATTAAAATACTGTTGAATACCATTTTAATGTACTTCTTCTTTTGTGAACCAAGCACCTGTACATCTTTTTATTACTCGTTTTAAAGTTTCTTTATTCTCAGTAGTCATTTGCTTTTAAATTTTGTCAGTAAGGTTTATGGTATGCACATTTTTAAAAATTGGGTGGTAAAACCTATCATTTCCTTTATGAATTCTCTCATTGCACAGAAATTGTAAGATATACCTTTTCTTCCCTAGTCAGATATTCACCTCTATTTTGTAGTATTTCAGTGCTGTTCTAGTCACATACTATGTATTTTAAAAGCTACCAAAATATGACAAAAAGAATTTTGTTTTATTTATTATATATTAGTTAGGGTCTTAAATTTTGTATCTTGGGTACTACTGTTTATTCATAAGTCAATAAACTTTTGAAGTTTGTAAGAAAGTCAAAGCTACATTGGAAATTAAACAGTTGTTCTTGAAATATCTTTTCTAAAAGTACTTCTAAGGTGAGGAAACAAACTACCTTTGTGGATTATTGTCCTTTGGCACCTGGTAATTTTTCTCTTCATTCTGTCTAATAACTTTATGCCAAAACATAGCAAACTACTCTGACCTCACTGAATCAGCGTATCTGTCTGACTCAGCAAGATAGTTCAGGGCTCAGATAGACAACTTTCGTCATCTTTTACCTTTCTCAAAGCTGCCTTTTGAAAGTGGCTCTTCCACTGTCTTGCATTGGAAAGAAGAACAATTAACTGAGCTTTTACTGTCTGTCAGAAACCCAATTAGAAACTTTAGATGATGGCTGCTGTAACGTGTGCATGGTTTTCATCTGTGTCTTGGTAGCAGTGTCTGTCTGTGTTTTGCATTCAGCTCTTGCTATCCACTCAAACATCATGCAGCCAGAGAGTAAGTTGGGATCATAGTACTGGTGTAGTGTTGTCTCTTTGGGCATATCCACCACTGGCCAGCCTCCAAATTCCCACACACAGAACTTTGGGAATAGAGATATTGTCGCTTGGGGGAATTTAATGTGAAATACCTCTAGTAACTCTGTATTTTTTTTTAAAAGGAAAAGAAAAAGGCAAAAAAAGAAACTTTGAATGTATATTCTCATTTGATTCTTATACTCAAATCCAGGGTATAGTAACTATTGTTAATCCAGTTTCCAAGTGAAGAAATGTAGTCTTCAAAAGGTTGTGACTTGCCCAAAGTCAAAGTTGTGTTGAATGTTATTGCCTCCAACTTCTCCTTTTGCCCAGAGATAACAAGTGGTTTTGTTTTTGTTTTTTAAGTCTTTGGAAAGTCTCGAACAGAGACCGGTTCCCACCTTTTTGTTGCTTTTCTCTGCCAACAGTGACTTGGAAGAGGGTCCTAGCATTAGTGTTAGCACTAGAATTAGCTCAGGCTGTCTTGTTCCTGGGTCCATATTCTTATTAAATTATGCCACCTTAGTTATTCTTTTATTTCGCTGAAGTACAACAGTGCTTTCAAAAGCAGAAAAGTAAGCTGGAGGGGGTGGTGTATTCAGTCCCATCCACATGTATGGTTCTTGGGTTCCTTGTCACGCAGATAAGTTTTTGTTTCAGTGTGGAAAAACTAAATGTATCCTAGGTAAACATCAAGTTTAAATTGTGGTGGGCTTTGAAAAGTTGCAGTCTAATTTAAAACATAGTTTTTCTTTTCTTTTTACATAGTTGTTCAAATATTGCTTAGTTTTAAAAATCAAATATTAACAAATGTATTTTAAATTGTTTTATCTTAAGACCCTAAGGAAATCAGTGGTCATACCTCTGGTATTAAAAAGGCTCTATGGTGCAGTGAGGATAAACAGATCCTTTCAGCTGATGATAAAACTGTTCGGTAAGTAATTTTTCTTTAATAATTTAAAGTTTGAAAAATATTTGACCTTAGAGCTTATATTTGAAAGTTTTTTATAACTACTATGTAGGAAGAATTGTGTCTGAACATTACAACTTTGGCTGCGCAGGGGTCACATTTTTCTGAAGCTATCCATTTACTGTTATAAACATAGAGCAGAATTCACAAGACCATTAAGACTACTGACACCTTTATACGCAGATGCTCTTAACCCGGGTCAGTGGGCAGGCTGGCCATAGGGTGTCAGTAAACCCCTGAAATTCTGTACACAGTTTTGTGAGCTGACACCTAATGTATTTTTCTGTGGAAAGATAACTATCAGACTCACAAAAATCAAGTGTAAGAACCATTATTTAGAGCAACGCTGAAATTGATTAGATTAGGAGTGTCCTAATAGCACAGTTTTGCTGAATCATTTGGGAAGTATTATATTTAAGGTATTAGTTTTGATTTCATCGACAAGCTACCAAATAATTTGATGTTTTATAGGATCCCAAAATTTCTCAGTATCATCTGTAATTTATGAGTTGGAGTAGAGGTTGTTTTACAATTGTGGTTATTTCATTGGTTAACCTGCAGGTGTAATTTAAGCTGTAAGCGTTTTTCTTAAATGAGTAAATACCTCCTTACTGTCCTCTTTTTCTTTTTTTTCTTCAGCCTTTGGGATCATGCTACTATGACAGAAGTGAAATCTCTAAATTTTAATATGTCTGTTAGCAGTATGGAATATATTCCTGAGGGAGAGATATTGGTAATAACTTATGGACGATCTATTGCTTTTCATAGTGCAGTAAGGTATGTCTAAGAAATACCTTCATTTTCTTTTCTGGTAATACAGGGGCAGTTTCAGGTACTTAAAAATTGGAAGGCATATGCTAAGGTATTTAACTGTTTTAAAGGCAAATTTTGGCCTATATTATGTAATATGGAGGGAAGTGTTTCCATACCCAATAATAATGAGTTTTTTAAGAATTTGGTATACTTTAATCAGAGGAATTAATCAAATTAATTTCCAGATATTTAGGACATTTATTGGTAAAATTCACCAATTTTTAATCAGTATTTTTCTTAAAAGGATCACTAGACTGGTGCTGTAGTTTATATTGTTCATTACTCTGTAAAACCTCTGTGATCTTGATTCTGCTATTTATTTCACTTTAAAATTTCAGAGAAACTAGTGATTTTTTTTTCTGCTTCCAAGTATGGTATAGACCTAATGATTTTTTAAAAAACAGACAATTTTTGTGACTGTAAATGTATTAAATGCTGATGTTGAAAATTTAGAAAATATAATTTTTAAAAACCTACAATCATACAGCCAGAAGGTTCGTGATAGCTATATTTTTTGCTAGTCTTTTTTCTTCGTGTGTGTGTGTGCGTATTACTGTGGGTTTTTTTCTTTAGTTACTAGTACCCTAATGAATATAACTTTTATTTTTTATATTTTTTGCTGTACGCGGGCCTCTCACTGTCGTGGCCTCTCCCGTTGCGGAGCACAGGCTCCGGACGCGCAGGCTCAGCGGCCATGGCTCATGGGCCCAGCCGCTCCGTGGCATGTGGGATCTTCCTGGACCGGGGCACGAACCCGTGTCCCCTGCATCGGCAGGTGGACTCTTAACCACTGCGCCACCAGGGAAGCCCTATTTTTTTAATTCTAAAATACTCTTAGCCATTAAAATTCTTTGCAAACAGTTTTACTAGGTGTTTTGCATCATAGGTTATACTAAATCATGTATCAGTTCCCCTGTTTTAACACTGCAGTGAGATTTTTGGTACATCTCTTGAATGTTTCTTTACAAGAGAATCCTGTAAGTAGAATCATCAGTTCAGAGGTTAGGAATGTCATGGCCAGAGCAGTCTGCAGCCTGCATGCTGCTTTGTCACCTGCCCCACCCTGCCTGCCACGGCCGTGGGTGAGTGCCTTCCACACGCTGTGCAATCTGCTCTCCAGTGGGTAGATTCACAGAGAAACATGACAGCAGAAAATGGTGTTGGAACAGTGGGGATCAGCAGTTTTTCACAGGAAGCTTTGGGAGATGTTGTTTAGTGTAGTCTGCCTGAAGTTGGAACAAGGTTGAACAAACAAGATGAGTTTGGTGCTTTGGAAAGTGTGAAAACTGCTAGTGAACTCTGTTCTCCTCTATCAGGAGAAGTAAGTGAAATTAATGAAGCCCCTGCAGAAAAGCCAGGACTTGTCAATAAATCTTGTTGTGAAGATCAAGACGACACTGTAAACCCTTCAGAATTAGATGAACTAATGGGTGAAGAAGCATGTGAGAAATACATAAAATCTATTGAGGAGTGAAAATGGAACCCCTAAATAAACTAGTTTGAAACAAAACAAAGGGTGGCAATGTGTTTAAAGTTCTTAGGAAACATGCCACTTACTTGATTTCCATAAGGAATATACCACATTATACTCTGACCAGCAGTCCTAACCTTTCCTCTAAAGGGCCATCTGCAGAGCTAAGCTTCACTGAATGGCAGAAGGAAAGAGAAGGCAGTCATAATGGACATGAGCAATTAAGAATGTAAAAGAGTTCATACACACTCAGTGAATTGATAATAATAACGTTATTGCTCAGAACCATTAAATGGTACAACTACGTTCATTGTTTCTGGATTTGGGCAGCGTGCAGCCCTGCTGTAGAACGTTGCCTGAAATGGTGGTGGTGGAGGTTTGCTGGCCTGTTAATATATTCTAACATTTAAGTCAGAAAGTTGCTATTCAGTGATCCTGCATAAGTCAGCTTTAATTTTCATGCTTTGTAGTGTGTGATGTGGGAATAGGATAGCAACATTTCAGAGTTGAAATACTCTAACGTTGTGTGTTGGAAACCTTTCAGGATTTTTAGGGTTAGACTGGAAAAGGGCCGATGTCCAAACTCATTGATATTCAGGTGATGCTACTGTTTTGCATTGATTTTTGTTATGTAGCTGTAGTCTCGGATTTAGTTATTGTTTTATAGCCTGATAGTTAAAAACGGATCCATTTTTAGCAGTTCTGTATTTCACAGTATTAAAGGTTTTTCCTGTTGCAGAAACTTATAAATTCTCAGCAGTTGAAAATAATATACAAATAATCCTTTATATTAATTACTTACTGTAAAAACTTTTCTGTTTACAAAGATAATACATGCTTGTCCTAGAAAAATTAGACAATGCAGAATTAAATTTTTTTTAAAGTAAAAATCCCAGTATATTAGCCATACTGTTTTAATTAGCCAGCCCAGTCATTTTCAGGAAGGCATTCACTGCACAAAGTGTGGATATCCCTCTGTGGAAGTATCTTTGTATTTTGCAGATGAACTTCACTTGGGCATAGTATCCTTCTGAATTTTTTATTTTTTTGCTGATATTATTTAGAGGGGTTTTTAAAGGTGTTTTTACTCTTTTTTTTTTAAATTGAAGTGTAGTTGATTTACAAGGTTGCGTTAATTTCTGCTGTATAGCAAAGTGATTCAGTTATACATACACATACATTCTTTCTTTATATTCTTTTCCATGATGGTTTATCACAGAATATTGAATATAGTCCCCTGTGCTCTACAGTAGGACCTTGTTGCTGTCCATTCTCTATATAATAATTTGCATCTGCTAATCCCAGACTCCCACTCCATCCCTTCCTCCCCGCCCCACAGCCACCAGTCTGTGTTGTGTCTGTGAGTCTGTTTCTGTTTCGTAATTTCATTTGTGTCATATTGTAGATTCCATATGTAAGCGATATCATATGGTATTTGTCTTTCTCTTTCTGACTTACTTAGCATGATAATCTCTAGGTCCATCCATGTAGCTGCAAATAGCATCATTTCATTCTTATATATGGCTGAGTAGTATTCCACTGTATATATGTACCACATCTTCTTTATCCATTCATCTGTCGATGGGCATTTAGGTTGTTTCCATGTCTTGGCTATTGTGACTAGTGCTGCTATGAACATAGGGGTGCATGTAGCTTTCTGAATTATAGTTTTGTCTGGATATATGCCCAGGAGTGAGATTGCTAGATCATATGGCAACTGTATTTTTAGTTTTTTAAGGAATCTCCACACTGTTTTCCATAGTGACTGCACCAAGTTACATTCCCACCAACAGTGTAGGAGAGTTCCCTTTTTTGCACACCTAGAGGGTTTTTTTTTTAACATCACTGTGTTTGACTAAATGAATATTGGATTATTCCTTGAGTTTCAGAGTTTAGGAACAGTTTAAATGTATAATTGTTTCCTTATTTATTAAATAATAAAAATTTATAAATATTATCTAAATTTTTTTTCTAGTTTGGACCCAATTAAGTCTTTTGAAGCTCCTGCAACCATCAATTCTGCATCTCTTCATCCTGAGAAAGAATTTCTTGTTGCAGGGGGTGAAGATTTTAAACTTTATAAGTATGATTATAATAGTGGAGAAGAATTAGGTGAGTTGTCCTCTTTTTCTTAAAATGTAGGTACCTTGATGAAATGTTATGTTTCAGTGATTAACACCTCAGCCAGTTTTTTAGCTGCTACTTTGCTTTTAGCTGTCTTGCTTTACCGTCCAATGAACTTAAACTTGTTAGAATTATACACAAAGAATAAAAGACAATTTTATGTTTTGTTTCTTTGGGAAAACTGATGGATTTGGGTTGGGTAAATCAAACCTTGGTGAATAGACTAAATAGAATCTATTTTAATTGTTTATGGTTCATCCTTTGTTGCTTGAATGTAAGTGACTTTTAAAATTTTATTTATTTTTGGCTGCATTGGGTCTTCGTTGCTGTGTGTGGGCTTTCTCTAGTTGCGGTGAGCAGGGGCTACTCTTCGTTGTGGTGTGCGGCCTTCTCATTGCGGTGGCTTTTCTTGTTGCGGAGCACGGGCTCAGTAGTTGCAGCGTGTGGGCTCTAGGGCACGCAGGCTTCAGTAGTTGTGGCACTTGAGCTCAGTAGTTGTGGCTCATGGCTCTAGAGTGCAGGCTCAGTAGTTGTGGTGCACAGGCTTAGTTGCTCCACAGCATGTGTGATCTCCCAGACCAGGGATTGAACCCCTGTCCCCTGCATTGCTAGGCGGATTCTTAACCACTGCGCCACCAGGGAAGTCCCTATAAGTGACGTTGAAATAAGAGATTCTTTTCCATTGTTTTTATTTAATGTCACTTTTCAAAGTTTTAGAATGTTTTGGCCACATGTTGTATGCTCTGAAAAAGAAGTAAATTATTTGCTTGGTATCTGAGGTCACAGTTAGTGAATACTGAACCTTGGACCCAGACATTCTTATTCCAAAATCTCATATTCTTTCTATTCTCATGATAATTTTTTACACTTATGGTAACATGATCATTATATTCTCTGGGGGAAGCTAGTGTGTGAGTGTCCTTGAGTTGAATAGACATGGAGACAGAACAGGATCACTTGTCTAGTAAACAGCTTTGAAAACTGATAAGGTGATAAGGCATTAGAAAGTAAATGAGAAAAGTTCATAACTAAGGATGTGCCTTAAACAGAACAACACCACTACTAATCTGTACATTTTCTCTTTAAACTCCATATAGGATCAGCATTGATCCTGTATCTTCATGTTCTTTGTGACAGAACGACTAGTGCACTCTAGGTAGATGGCTGGGAAATGAAGAGGCAGAGTGTGTAAAAGAGCTCCATCTGGTGGCTCTCTATAGTCATAATAAGAATTGGTTCCCTAGTAAACAGACAGTGAGTTTGGGATTTGGAAATGGGGATTGAATTCACAGACTTTAGATCTGCTTTCTGTAGATTTTAGAGGGGTTTTCATTCACTCCCTTTCTTTATTTTTATTGGGACATGACGCCTCAGTTTTTTGTATTTTCTTTTTTTAGAGACAGTCTGAAACCATAGTGTGTGCCAGGATTGCAAAGGAGTAATCTTACAGAGATATGGTAGACATGATGAACCAGTTTGTGATGAGAATCACTTTATTTTTAATTAGGTATAGTTCTTTGACTTTGCCCTCATGAATTTCACATCTTCCCAATAATGTAGACAATATTTTCTCTAGTGTATCAATACTTAAATGTCATGTTTAAGTATTAAATTATCTAAAAGCCCTTCTCTTCTTTTTCAGAATCCTACAAAGGACACTTTGGTCCCATTCACTGTGTGAGGTTTAGTCCTGATGGAGAACTCTATGCTAGTGGTTCTGAAGATGGAACATTGAGACTATGGCAGACTGTGGTAGGAAAAACATACGGCCTTTGGAAGTGTGTGCTTCCTGGTAAGAATTTTTATTCATGATTTTGTATCATTTTGCACTGTTAATTTTTTCAGTATTTCTGTCTTTATAGATTTTAAAGTATATAATATGGTTACAGCAAGGAGAAGCCCATGACTAATAAATCATCCACTGTGTTCTTTGGTTTAAATTTTTTTGGTGTACAATATATTCTGTTCCTAAATTTTTACCCTAGATCATTTGGTGAATGGAATACTCCTAATTCAAAATTTGCTAGAGGACAGTATAAAGAACTTATAAGTAAATATATTTAATCTCTGAATAATACTACTTAGTGATTCTTACTAGTAAAGTAGAACTGTTTTTTAATAAAAATACTTAGTTAATGATCCCAGAGTAGTTGTAGTATGGATTTAAAAGTATGAATCTAAAAGACATACTTTTTTAGAACCACAATTATTAAGAAAGCTGTTCCTCTTATGTTTTGTAGCTCATCGCTTGGCATAGTCTCGGCGTACTCTTCTTCCTTGTTAAATGCTAGAAATTGCTAGTGATATTATAATTCACATAATCATCATTGCTTTTATTTTCATAGAAGAAGATAGTGGTGAGCTGGCAAAGCCAAAGATCAGTTTTCCAGAGACAGCGGAAGAGGAGCTAGAAGAAATTGCTTCAGAGAATTCAGATTCCATCTATAGTTCAACTCCTGAGGTTAAGGCCTGAGCATCAGGCAGATGTACACAACTTATGGACTAAAACAAACAGAGAAAAGCATCAGCCTCCAGAGTTACTCTCTGCTTAAGGCAAACATGAGCAGTAAATAATGAGGAATATGAATTAGCTCCAGTGCTGGAACTAACCAACTTGGTGATACCTGTAAGTGAAAACACAAGAGTATCAGCTGAAGGCGGATGGAGTGATACTCTTGTAGTACGATAGTCTGTTGTCTTTTTCATGAATATGTGCAAACCAACATCCAATTTCTCTTACTACAGGTAGATTTCTTGTAGCTGTTTATGTTATTATGAAGAGGGAAAATATATTGGCCTATTTTTCTGACTTTTCCCTTAAAGCAGAAAGCCATTTTTTTTTTGCTTTAGTTATAAAGAAGAGGGGGAATACATGATAAAGTAACTGGTTTGATTTCTCTTTCATTGTACACTGCTTCTGAACATCTAATTGTTTTTAGTTGTCTAAATAAAATGCCTCTAAAACAAAACTGTGTTTGTTTCTTGGGAAGCATTGATAGGTTTGAGTTTTATAAATGGAAATTGCCAGAAAGTTTTTTTACGTCATAACTATATTGAAAGACAACCCGGTTAAAGATTCTGTAGTGAACATAAATTGTTTCCTGATTTTGAAATTCAGTTACTTGTACTGGATTTTTGAAATTTTTATGTGCTTTGGTAGGGTTGTATATACCTTTCTTCCTCCTAGACTGGATAGGGGTACTTGACCTGCCTTTTAAAAAAAACTTTCAGAATAATGACTTATTTAAATGATACTTGCTGGTTAAAAGAGAAAAAAAAAAAAGCAATTCAGAAATAGCAGAGGGCTTCCCTGGTGGCGCAGTGGTTGAGAGTCCGCCTGCCGATGCAGGGGACGCGGGTTCGTGCCCCGGTCCGGGAAGATCCCACATGCCGCGGAGCGGCTGGGCCCGTGAGCCATGGCCGCTGGGCCTGCGCATCGAGCCTGTGCTCCGCAACAGGAGAGGCTGCAGCGGTGAGAGGCCCGTGTAACGCAAAAAAAAGAAAAGAAATAGCAGAAAGATATCAGAAAAATCACTCAAAATCCCACTACCCCCAAAAAAATTCTGTTAAAATTGAGTGAACATTAACACACATGAGTGTACCTCTGAATGTGTATATGCAGATAGATAGGAAAGATTTTATAAAAATGGGGTAATTGTAGACCTGCAATGTTTGTTTTACTTTATCCTTTTAAGTTCAGGTGGTATTCAGAAAGCCTTTTTTTTTTTTTTTTTACCTTTTAATAAAATGAATCAACTGAGTTTAGATTTGTGACACATTTATTTTTTAATATGGAAGGAATATTGAACTAGTAGTTTGTAAATACTTTAGAGAAATAAATAACATCTCTGCCAAATTGCTTTTTCCCTATCTTGTGAATGACCCTTGATAACTTTCCTTAAAAGGAATAACCAACCAAAAAATAAGTTTTTGAGGATTTCTGGTAAACTGGCAGAAAGCACAGTAGGCTGTGACTGCCTTAGAGGGCCAAGAGAGGTGTGTCGTGGGGAGAGCCGACTGATAATTCACACAGGGTCTCACAGCATGAGCGTATTTTCTTGTCAACTTGCTACGTGCCTGGTTCTCTGCTTTCCAGCAGCAGTATTGTCAGTGTACCACAGACTCTAATCCTAGTCTGACTTATCTTAAATACAGTTGAGATTTATATGCACCAGGTTGGCATTTTGAAATTGCTTGGTATTTATGAAGTTTATGACCAAAGGAAGTCTCTTCTATTCAGGTTTCATAAAAGTCAAAAGAAAATACAGGGACTTCCCTGGTGGCGCAGTGGTTAAGAATCCATCTGCCGATGCAGGGGACATGGGTTTGAGCCCTGGTCCAGGAAGATCCTACATGCCGCAGAGCAACTAAGCCCGTGCGCCACAACTACTGAGCCCGCGCTCTAGAGCCCATGCTCCACAACAAAAAAAGAGCATGATTCTGTTAACTCAGAGTAAAAAAAAAAGAAAATACAGATGCATACTTACACCATCACTGGGTGGCATATAGCTTGAAATCTGTAAAAGTTGTTTTAAGTTTACGAGTTGAAGAATTTCAGGCCATGGAGCTCTGTCATACCATAACTTATACTTGTGTGATTAGCGAGTTCATGTTGGTCAGATCTCTGGTTGACCGTATTGTCAAGTTCTTAGGTTTTTAGATTCTGGTTACCCAGTCAAGTCATTTTAGGTTTTGGCTTTTGCTGGATTAATGATCGTTAGCTAAAATCAAGGTGTTGGCAGAGCTGCATTCCTTCTGGAAACTAGGAGAGAGTCTATTTCCTTTTTCCAGCTTCCAGAGGCCACTGGCATTCCTTGGCTCCGTCTTCAAAGCTGGCAACATAGCATCTTCAAATCTCTGAGTCTCCTGCCACCCTCTTTAACTTATTAAAAGGACGTTTGTGATTACATTGGACCCACCTGGATAAACTCCTCAGTTCAAGATCCTTAACTTACTACCGTCTGTAAAGTCGCTTTTGCCATGTAAGGCAACATTCGCAGGTTCCAGGGATTAGGATATGGACATCTTTGGGGGGCCATTAGTCTGTTTACCAGACCGTCTAATGGTAGAATCCTATAGTAGAAATTTAGCAAAAAGTTAAAGTATATATTTACGAAAATTGCATTTGTCAAAGTCTCAAGTGTCCTGCGTGTTTCTAACCCAGTGGTCACTTTTCTCATCTTACTAAACCTTCAGCAGCATTAAATAGTTGTCTACTTCCTTGTTTTTGAAATACTTTATTTTTTTCACTTCTCTGCAGCTTCTATCACACTCCTGGTTTTACTTAAATCTTTCTGACTGCTTCTGAATTTGCCAATTCCTCCTTTTCTGCTTCAGGTCTGGTCTATACTTTCTAGCTCTGCTCTCCAAAGGGAAAACTCATTGTGGGATTCAGTGTCTTCTGAAATCTTTCAAATTCATAGATCCAGCCTGCTGCCCTGAGCACCAGAGTTTAATGGCATAGTTGATGTTCTACCTTAACCTTTAGTAAGCATCTCAGACTTACCTGTGGAAAACAAATCTTAATTTCTCAACCAAACGTATTTCCCCAACTTGTTACCCATTCTGATAATGGGCACTGCCTAAACTGAAAGACATAAAGTCCTTGAGTCTCCTATCCCTATTTTTAGTCTATATGTAAGTCCTGTGGGTTCTCCTGAGTCTGTACTTGCCTCATGTCCACTGTTAACACCCTAGACCAGGCTCCCTCTGTTTCTCACGTAGACAGCTGCAGTGCCTTCCTAACTGTCCCCTCTTGCCCCTACTCCCCCACCCTGCCCTCATCCCATCCATTTTCTACACAGTAGGAAAGGTAATTGCTTTAGGGCTTGAAGAGGCTGAGTGACTGTCCTGTTTAAATCCACAGTGTCTTCCTATTATACCATGTTTTTACTATTTTCTGACTCTTGCTGCCTTTATGACTTTTCATTTTTCCCTTGCTTGTCCTGCTCTAGCCTCAGTGGCTTCATTTCACAAGGCCTTTTCACTTGGCTTGCTATTTCTGCTACTGGAGCCACTCTTACTTAAATATATGCATGGCTGACCCTTTCTTGTGATTCAGGTCTCAAGTCCTGTGACCCTCTTGTCACTTGCTATTTTGCCCTATTTTATTCAGAGTTCTTACCAGTCTGAAATTACCTCGTATATTTTTTGTCTTCACCAATATTGCTTTGCTTAGAAAGGTGGCTGGTACATCATAAGTGCTCAGTAGATGTTGAAACAAGTCCCTAAATGAGCACCAGATCTTACCAGACCAGTAAGATTATTTTTCAGTTATGCAGCAGACCGTCCTCTCCACTGAAGAGTCAGACGTGGCCGGAACCTGCTCAAAGCACTTGCCTCTCCAGTGAATTCATGTACAGCTTTATCGGACTTGAGGTCCAATAACCTAGGAGCACTTCAGCTTGTGTGATACAGTCTCCCCATCTCCACCCTGCTTCCCATTCCATTCTTCCTCTGGCACTTCCTCTCTATGTCCTAACGTCATGGTAGCTCAAATCCTGCCTAAGTTTTAGTAATTTACCGTACGAATCATTGCGTCTCCATGTCATCTAGAGGTTTCTTCTAAGAAACCAGGATTGAGCGCAGTCAATTCTCTTGAGAATTTTTCATGTCAGTAAAGTTCAACATCTTAATGTCTACAAAATAGTAAAGATGTACCATAATAACTTAAAGGTTACATGTTTTAATAGTTCAAATTCAATGGAATTATTAATTTAGCTGCCTGTTTTTGAGACGAAGGTGGAGGCAAATGGATGTAACTGTTCAGGATGGAGCAACAGAATGGGGAATTGAAAATGCAGACCAAGGGGAAATATTTCTCTTGTAGGAACCTTATGTTTTACAGCTGAATATTTTTGGACAAACAGTGGTTCTGTTGAGTTACATGTGGGTCTCACACTAGGGGGATTCCTGAAGAAAAAGAATCACTGGAGGAAGAACATTCTCAGATAGGCTTAGCTTTTCTTTGCTTAGCTATAGGAATGCACAGTGTGACGGTGTCACCTAGATCAGTGTGACTTTAAAATTAACAGAGTTCTTGGAGAAACAAATGAGGCATTAACAAATTTACCTGTGGAAACAAGGCCGGAGTATGCATCTAAATGATAGCTAATGAACAGTAACCATACTTCATAGGTTGAATCACTTTATATAATTAATGAGAGAATGGAACTTGGTCAAGTGGAAAAGAACTGGTTAAAGTTTACAGATGTGTGTAGAAATAGTATTTTTTTAATCTCTCCAATAACCCAGTGGAGATGGGTAGTATCTACATTATACATATGGGAAACTATTTTAGAGGTTAAATGACTTGTCTAATGAGTTTGGCTTCAAAGAAATAGTTGGGACAGTAAGTGTGTGGTCTGTAGGTTATATTGCCTGGGTTTGAACAGATTTGGTGGGGAGGAATCAAATAATTGATGAAATGGGCTTAACTCATACGAAGCACTTAATATTAGCTAGTGTTATGTATTTATCAGTGATTTCCCAACTTTGGGATTTGGTGGAAAAATAGATTAAAAAGGCAGGGGGGGTTAGGTGGGGGTCGGTGGCAAGACTGAGTGGTCTGCCTCTAATTTTGCCAAGTGAGGCTATGAAAACATCTACCAGCACAATATTCATGAAAGAAAGTTCATTTTAAAATCCAAGTTGGTAGTGAAGGGCATAGTGTCAGGACTGTTCTTTAAATTGAATAAAACTTCATAAAAGACTCAGTATAATTCTTATTTTTCTTATTTCATCATGAAGTAGGAACTAGATGTTCTAGAAGTCTCTCTGCAGTTCTGAAATATTTTGATTCTAATATTCATACTCTCCCCTAGTCCTCCCTGTTTCTACACTTTCCCCCATCTGATTTAGAAATACTGTTGACAATCCATAATTAAGTGAATTTTTACCTAAGGAACCTGTGAAGGACTGCTCTAAGAAATCATAAAGACTACAGTCGAATAAAATTGGACTTGTTGAA